TATGACATTAATTGTGGCAACATTTTGCTCTCCAGGAGCTTTATATCATATTTGCTATCATTATGGTATGTACACACAGTACAGTACTTATTTTTAGAGATGTTAATGGTACTTGGTCTTTACAAAAAATTATTCTCATAAATTTTTGTTTTGAACGATGACACATCTTTGCATATTTAATGATTCATTTAAAGTTTAGATGTTCATAACATTATTGTGCTTTAACTTTGTCTTTAATGTTATCTTACAAACATTTCCAATCTTCAGTAGTTTTGCACAAACAGTGCCACAGAGTGTCACTAGTAACTCATCTTTTACCATTTCAGTGGCAAATATTATTAGGCTTTATTCTCAGCTCAGACATGGGTCCTTGAGACTATGAAAGCTTCGGGTGTATCTTGTGAAGTGCGTGCTAAGTGAGCCATCTGTAGGGAGTACTGTATTCACTTTGAAGGAACCTCAGGCAGAGGATCCTGACTTAAACTGTGCAGTACTGTACTTTAATTTTTGTAATAGTCACAAGTATGGTACAAAACAGTTCATCCCAGAATTGAGTAATGCACAAAATAGTTCTGAAAACCTAAATTAAGGAAGGGCAAAATGCAGTATAGAATTATTTGAGAGACTGTCCTAATCTTCAAATCCCCCAATGATTCATGCAGAATAGAAATGAATACTGTGTTAATGTGAAGGAAGAAGATAAATTTGAAAAAAGAAGAGAAAATAAGAATTAATAAGTTTTAACTTAACTTCTTATTGAAAGTCATAAAAAAGATACTAATTTTAAAAAGCAAAATACTTATAGATTAATAAGGATTAAGATTTCTAAACAAAATTGTTGAATTATAAAATGTGTAGTACAGTGCTGCATTAAACAAATTTTAATGTGTGGAAAGGATTTGATAAGTCATAATTCACCTTTCATCAACATTAGATAGTAGTGTATTATAATCATTTAAAAACAGTAATTATCCTTTAACCTTGCTAATTATTATTTTTGTCTAAAATGCAAATTTTTTAATTTAATCATACATCAATTACTAATGTTTCCATGACAGGAAAAGGTAATGCCCATGACACTACTGCCTCTAGCTCCATTTCTACACCCTGATGATCCTGATGGAATGTTCTACAACGAAGTGTATCATTACCTTAGTTCTGGTACCTTCCCAGAAGGTGCTACAGATACTTACAGGAAAGTCATCAAGAAGCGAGCTACAAACTACTTGGTTAGTCGTTCATTTTTATGGAATGATAGAATTATTATTGAAAGAGTTTAGGGTAGGATGGAAAATAAGATTTTGAGGAACAAGAAGGATCTAGGAAGAGTATGATTTCTGTAAATGAAGAGTTTCCATTGAAGTTTATAAGTGAACTATACTTAGATAAAGGTAAGGAATTCTTTCTCTTATTTATGGATTTAGCAAAAGCATATGATAGAGTAGATAGGAAAACATGTGGCAGATCTTGCAAATGTAAGGAATAGGTAATACATTGCAGATAGGTTCAGGTTAGGGTATGTATGAGGGGGGATAATATTTTCCAGTTAAAGAAGACCTTACACAGGGATGTATGATTTCACCATGATTGTTGACATATTTCTAGATGTGAATGCTAGGATGTTGGGAAAGGTGTGGATTAAATGATAATGAAACTGATAAGTGAGAGTTGTCATAGTTGTTCCTTGCCATTGATACAATTTATTGTGGGAGATTCTGAAAAAAAAAAAAAACTGTAAAGGTCAGTGGAGGTATTTTGGATGTTATGTAAAAAGAAGGAAGAAGTGAATACTGAAAGGAACAAGGTAATGAGAGTAACAAAACATTTATGCACTGAAAGACTGGATATCAAAATAGTGAGTATGGAGAAAGTGAATGTATCCAAATATTTGGGAATGGTCATGTTGTCTATGAAAGATGAGGTGAACCATAGAATATATGAGAACCAAAAAAAGGTAGGTGGTGTGTTGAGGCATCTTTTGAAAGAAATTTTATCTTTGGAGGCAAAAAGGAAAATGTACCAGAGTATAATGGTATCAACACTTTTGTGATGGTACCATTATACTTTGGTACATTGTTGCTGCAAGGAAACTGAAGGGAGTAGTAATGTCATATTTTAGATTAATGTGCGAGTCAAATATTACACAAAGAGAATACAGAGTATAAATCAGAAAACAGTTTAATTCAGAGGGGTTCTTGAGGTGGTTCAGACATTTAGAGAGGGTGGAGCAGAAGAGGATGACCGAGGTTTAAATCTTGGATGGAAGGAAGGTGTGGGGATCATCCCAGGAACATTTGAAGAAAGGGGGTAAACAAGGTTTGAGTGCTAGGGGGCTTGAGCATACAACAGGCTTGTGTGAATATGTTAGATTGGAGTGAATAAAAACAAGTGATTTTTTTTGTGGCTTGACATGCTTTTGGAATGTGTGCTAGGTAACATTGTAACATTTATGAAGGGATTCAGGGAAAACCAGTTAGCCAGACTCTAGTCCTGGAGGTAGGAAGTACAGTGCCTACACTGAATGAGGTTGGGGATACTGCAGTTTGGAGAGTCATTTGAAGTGTAATGTCTGTGCAGTTCTGACAAGACAGCCATTGAATGGGTGATGTTAAATGCATTTTCCTGTTTTGGGTTGCCTTACTGTTGTGGGAAGTGGCTGGTGTGTTAATTTTTTTTTTTTTTAACAAATGTGCCTGAAATTGTGCTTTACAACTCATGTATTTTTATAAAATTATGATACTTTTATAAAAAATCTAAGACAGAAATACGATACTATACATACAGTATCTATTACTGTTTATATTTTATGGTAATTTTTTTATATTTAAACTTTTTTCTTATGAGAAACAATTACTCTATGCAGATAAATGAAGAAGGGCGACTGTCATATGGTCATAGGATGCCTAAAGAGGTCATAACTAGTGCTGAAGAACAGCGGCGTATCATAGCAGCAGAACATATTGACCAAATTTCAGGTAGGCAGCATATATTTAAAGCTCACATTCTGGATTTTCATCCTCTTTCTTATGTATTTCTGCCAGTAAGTCCCTTTGTGCAACAGTATATAAATTTACCTGATGTGATCAGTATCATATGCAAAATGTAATAAAGACTCCTATAATGAAGATTTAACTATAGAAGACATAATTGAAGTTAATGCATCTGCCATGAATCTAGAACACCTCTACTGTATAGAGTGTGGGATATCTATAATTTGGAAAACCTGAGCATGAATTAGTTTAAAGAGAAACCACTATTTAGAATTTTCTGTAATTTAGACACCCTAAAAATCAAATTTGCCACAAAAAATGCTATACAGTATACTGTAATTATTTATGCATAAGGAAGTGAGTACAATTAGAAACATCTTGACTTTCAATAAATTATAGCTGAGGCTCACTCACAATATTTTTTGTAAATTAGTGTGAAGGTTAAATTAAACCTTTAAATATTTTTAATACATTTTGTTTGCTTTTTAACTTAGGTGTTCATTTTGGAGTGAAAAAGATGTACAGCAGTATATTTAGCAAGTATTATTGGCGCACTATGTATGTAGATGTGGTAACTACTGCAGACGATGTGAAAAAATGTACTGAAGTTGCGGTGTCTAGTTTCCGTGACCTGATACAAACAGAAACTGGAGATGACGGAGGTGATGATGATGTTCAGAAGATCACGACTCTGCCAACTGACCGAATTATTCGTGTATGGAAAAAGGTAATTAAAAAGTGTTCAGCTTTTTTTTTTTTTTTTTTTTTTACAGTTACATGCTCCTCAGTCATATTTATACTACATGTTATATGATATTCTTCCTCTATAAGCCAAGTGTGTTGTAACAGGTGACTAAAATGCTGGGAGCAAGGAGTTAATAATGCCTTCTGTACAAATTACTAAGTTTAAAAACAAAAACTTTCGTTTTTTTCTCTTCAGTCACCCTGCCTTGGTGGGATACACGGTTTGTTAAAAAAAAAAAATCATGCATTTTTCATTCCAGAATTTTTGTACTGGTAAATCCAACTCACTTTTCAAACAGTTTCATGTAAGACAGTCTGATGTACATCTGGGCATTGAAAATTTGATACTCTGTTACAAATAAAAATTCAACAGTCTGTTTTAAAAATTTTCTTTCAGAAGAGGTTGACCAGTTCATTAATCAAAGCTATGGTGCTGAGTGCTTAACATGGCTAAGGGACTGACCACCTCAGAATCACTTCTTTAGGGCTGAGTAACTGATCATCTCATAGTTACCTCTCAACCACTTATGTTGTCTCAGTGTTTGTCACCTCTGTATTTTGACTGAAGAAGCCTGCTGAGCAGGCAAAACATCTTGTCCATAAGGATACCAGACTGTTGCATATGTATCTTATCCAAGATACAATCTAGCCTTGACATGACCACTCTCTTCAACTAGGTACCCAGTTTCTCAAGCCATTGATCTACACAGGAAATTGATGATGTCCTTGGTTTACCTATCTTTCAATGACTTTGTAGACCTTATTGAATTATACATTATTTTTCAGTTATTTCTTCCGAAGCTTCCTCTGTCAACAGAGCTTTGACTTACTTATGGGATTCACTTTAAGTCAGTCTACACAAATCTGTGTGTGAAGAGTCTCATCCTTTGTCAGACTTGACTTTACTGTTGACAACATGTTGATTATACACTGAGAAGATTGGATGGCTCTGCCCGCCAAGGTAAACTCAAGCAGATTGTATCTTACATACATTTTTAGAAACCAGTGATACACTTCCTTTCCTAGATATTTTATTTTGCAACTCTGGCAGCAAATTTTGTTTCAAGGTTTTTTGGAAATCCACCAAGTTCAACATTTCTAATTTTACCATGACTCCAGGCCTAAAATTGGTATTCTTTTCCTTAGTTTCTCTCCACATCTGCAGTAAAAAATTTCTTCAAGATATCTCTTTCCCTCAAAAAAAAATCTTCATCAAATTACACTGCCCTTGACATTTCATCAGGAATAGCAAACTACATTCCCATATGATCAATTCACCTTGACCCAGTGCCTCCGAATAAGATGTGTAATTCAACTCATCAACTTGATTGACAAGCACATCTCCAAGATTTTTTTCCTACAGCAAATTCAACATAACCACTATGTCTTATGCTGCCATATAGGAATTGTGATGTAATCTACTAGAGTGAGACATACAAAGACCTCCGCAAACAAATTTCAGAACAACAAACATACCAGCAGAACTACAGCCTTAACAGTGCCTGTTAAATGCATTGTAATTCTCACACCCACTTAATAAATTGCAGTGGCACACTACTGATTGCCAAGGAGGATAACACCTAAAGAGAGTCCTTGAAACTGCAATCATCAGTATCTCCAACAACTTAACAACCAGAGCAAAACTTTCTACAGTTTAGCTGAAACACTTTCTACAGTGCTTGATAATCAGTGTGAGCTGACTCACCCAACTTACCAATGACCTTGATTGATTCTCACTACTATATATTGGCTCACCCTCTCTTCCCAGATTTATTTTGTTTCTGACCTCTTAAGGAAGTTCCTTAAAACTGGTGAAACTTGCTTGAAACTTGCTTCCTTCTTCCTTGATTCAAATCTGAATGTCTCCCATTCCCCAGGTGTATGACTTATTGGTTTTAACAATCATCTCCTAAATAGAATAATAATGATGGCAATATGTGTTTGTGACTGATAACACCCACTGCATGGGGAAAACATCATCAGTAAACATTCACATAACTACACACATTTTCTTCTTCTTTCAACAAACTGGCCGTATCCCACCAAGGCAGGGTGGCCCAAAAAGAAAAACAAAAGTTTATCTTTTTAAATTTAGTAATTTATACAGGAGAAGGGGTTACTAGCCCCTTGCTCCGGGCATTTTAGTCGCCTCTTACGACACGCATGGCTTACAGAGGAAGAATTCTGTTCCACTTCCCCATGGAGATAAGAGAAAATAAACAAGAACAAGAACTAGAAAGAAAATAGAAGAAAACCCAGAGGGGTATGTATATACAGTGGTCCCTCGTTGTTCGTAATTAATCCGTTCCTGGAGCCGTTACTATAAACGAAATTTACGATTTACGAATCAATTTTCCCCATAAGAAATAATGTAAATACAATTAATCCGTTCCTGACACCCAGAAGTATTGAAAAAAAAAATTTTTAACATGAAATATACATGTAGTACATAAACAATACAATGGGAAATGATGAATGAAACATTAACAGCATAGCACTTACCTTTATTGGAGATTCTTCTTAGTGTATGGGAGACTGGAGGAGGAGAGAGAGTGGATTGTTTATAGTTTGGAAGGGGAATCCCCTTCCATCAACACCTCAGGTACCATTTGCTTTTCTGGGGTTGCTTCTCTTCTCTGTTTCTTAATGCTCTCTAGGACCACCTTGAGAGTCACTGGAGTCCTGTCTCACAAAATAACTGTGGAGAGAGCTCTGTTTCTGGCATCTCTTTAACACTTCCCTAAAATGGCCCAAGACTTTGTCACTGTACATGTTGCCAACCTGGCTTGCAACAACCTTGTTAGGGTGATCTTTCTCCATAAAGCTTTTCATCTTACCCCACATAGTAAAAATCTCTTTAATTTCTGAAGAGGCACCTTCTTCCATCTCTCTTCCTTCCTCCTCTGCAGCAAGATTCTGAGCTGCGATGTGTTGCTCTTCCTGCTGAAACTCTTGCAGCTCCTCAGTGGTGAGCTCTTCATTGTGGTCTTCCACCAATTCTTCCACATCCTCCAAACTCAAATCCAACCCCATGGAACTCCCCAGTGCCATAATTGATTTTACAACAGACATAGGCTCATTAGGGTCAGTCCCAAATTCTTCAAAATCCCTCTTGTCGACACAATCTGGCCACAGTTTTCTCCAGGCAGAGTTCAGAGTCCTGGAAGTCACTCCCTCCCAAGCCATACCTATAAGGGTTATGCAGTGGAGGATGCTGAAGTGGTCTCTCCAAAATTCCCTTAGGGTCAAGCGAGTGTCTGTGATCACAGTCAAGCACCTGTGAAACATTGCTTTTGTGTAGAGTTTTTTAAAGTTTGCAATAACCTGCTGGTCCATGGATTGGAGGAGAGGAGTGGTATTCGGGGGCAAGAACTTTACTGTGATGAACCCAAACTCCTCGAAAATTAGGTCATCCAAGTTTGGAGGATGAGCAGGTGCATTGTCCATTACTAGCAGGCACTTGAGATCCAATTTCTTTTCCAGGAGATACTCCTTCACACTAGGGCCAAACACTTCATTGAACCACTCGACGAAAATTTCCCTCATGACCCATGCCTTACTATTAGATTTCCAAAACACACACAGTTTACTCTTCATAACATTGTTTTTCCTGAACACTCTGGGATTTTCAGAATGGTACACTAGTTATGGCTTCACTTTGAAATCCCCACTAGCATTAGCACAGAACATTAGCGTCAGCCTGTCTTTCACAGGCTTGTGTCCTGGCATTGCCTTTTCCTCTTGTGTAATGAAGGTCCTCTTTGGCATTTTCTTCCAAAAGAGGCCTGTTTCGTCACAATTGAACACTTGTTCAGGTTTCAGTCCTTCAGCCTCTATGTACTCCTGGAATTCATGCACATATTTTTCAGCCGCCTTGTGGTCCGAACTGGCAGCCTCACCATGCCTTACCACACTGTGTATGCCAGTACGGTTCTTAAATCTCTCAAACAGCCTTTGCTGGCCTTAAATTCACTCACTTCACCACTATTTGCAGGCAATTTCTTTACCAAATCTTCATGCAACTGCCTAGCCTTTTCACAAATAAACGAAGTCATAAGAGTATCTCCTGCTAATTGTTTCTCATTTATCCACACCAATAATAACTTCTCAACCTCTTCCAGTACTGGTGATCTCATTTTTGTCAGCATAGTTACTCCCCTTTGCAACAACAGCATCCTTTATTTCATTTTTCTTGGCCACTATGGAACATAAGGTTGTGTAGGGTTTCTTATACATCCTGGACAGTTCGGCCACACTTGTACCACTTTCATATTGTTCAATGATGGTTTTCTTAAATTCAATCGTATTTCTCACCTTCTTTACCACAGGCTTGGCACTAGGAACTTTCTTTGGAGCCATGGTAGCTTATTTAGTACTTGCAAGCACTAAAATAAATGGAATATTATGAAATATTTCGCTGGAACACGTGAGGGGACCTTCGCTCACTGGTAAACAATGCCAGACTGGCTGCCGCCCTGGCTTACGCCGTGGGTACGCGTCCCGGACGAACTACGACTCGCGAGTCAACCTATGAAAAGCGAGTCCATGTTTATACGAAAATACCCCTATGATTGGCGATTTTACGATTGCCGGGAACTACGAAAAGCGGGGGACCACTGCATATGCTTGTACATGTATGTGTAGTGTGACCTAAGTGTAAGTAGAAGTAGCAAGATGTACCTGAAATCTTGCATGTTCATGAGACAGAAAAAAAGACACCAGCAATCCTACCATCATGTAAAATAATTACAGGCTTTCGTTTTACACTCACTTGGCAGGATGGTAGTACCTTCCTGGGTGGTTGCTGTCTACCATCCTACTACCTAGGAACTACACACATGTCCTTATTAAACCTTTACCTGATAAATAATCTTGCCTGGTTCCTTAGTAGAATGCTGGAGATAATCACACTGTAACTTGGACCCTCTGGTGAAAAATGACAGAAAAAACCTCATGAATTTTTGACGAAGCTTGTTCCACATGCAGAATATCTCGCTAAAATTTGTCTCTGTTAATTGTACCTATCTTTTCCACTTGTTGGTCTCGTGCCATTGTTTTCAGAAAGGGGCTTCAGTATCACTTGTGCAGAACATTGACGAAGGAACTTTAAGAGTGGAGTGACCCACTATCCATGATTTAACCCAACAAGAAAGACTCCCAAAATTCAGCTTTGTTTAAACCTGTCACTTGATTACTGTGCTGTGCAGCACAAGTCCAAGTCACACAAAAATTGTTTCAACAACATTTAAACCATACCACGGGTGGGGACCATGGTATAGGACGGTCTGGAGTTTTGAGACTCTCTGATCACGGGTTCAAACCCCACCCATGGTATGGTTGTTTGCAATCGTGTCATTACGATTTTGTGAGTCAACAACATTTAATTTTACATGCTGCATTTTTCTCACGGAACAGGTGCAAGTAAAAATCTACGGCCCATACAACAGAACAGTTTATGGCAATGAGGTGTTGGTGACGATTGTTGACCCTTTCTCACGGTGGATCATTGCTCAAGCCAGTCCTGAGGGAGGGGTGGAAGTCTGTTGTGCAAATTTCATCTTTGACACCTTCTGTCAGTTTGGCTTTGCACAGTGTCATGTAAGTGGGTGATTAATTTTTTTTACATAAAGGAGAATGTGTTTACATCACTGCAGTTTCAGAATTGTCTACACTAAACAAGAGCTATTAAACAATAAATTTTAAGGAAAACAAATTAACAGTCGATTAATAACAAAAAAAGGCACAATACCGTGACTGGAACAATACACAAACAACCCGCACATAGGTGAGTGGAGCTTACAACAACGTTTTGGTCCAACTTGGACCATTTACAAAGTGACTTTGTAAATGGTCCAAGTCGGACCGAAATGTTGCCATAAGCTCCTCTCTCCTATGTGCGGGTTGTTTGTGTAACAGTCCATTAAGAAAGGAGAAGCATGTGGGTAAATATTATGAATTATATGTAAAAAAAGTGTTTAGAAAATATTCTTCACTCTGTTGTGCTAAAAATTGGGGGAAGTTAGAAGTTTTGTTATTATATAATGAAAAGTGGGGATGTAGCAGGCAGAGGATAATCTGATTGTGATATCAGCATACTGCTGGAAAGATGGCAGTTGAATGAATGTTAGTGGATGTGTTTTCTTCTTTGGGTAACCTTGCCTGGGCAAGAGACAGTCATTTGGTTAAAAAATAAAATAGAAGTATGAGTGCTAGCATAGTAGGAATGTCTGGTGAAAAAGACAGAGGATTCCTCTACTTGTACAATGTTTCATCCAACACTGGGGTTTTTCAAGCAGTGTACATGTGCTTGAAAAAAACCCAGTGTTGGATGGAATATACAAATAAAGGATACTGCATGTGTGTCTTTTTCACAAACTGTCAGCATATTGTCACTAAAGTGACTTAATAAATCATGGCAGACCAGTTTTGAAACTAGCAGGCCAGTGTGTTATACACTGGACCATGCCAGACAAATCTTACACCAGCATGGCTGGCATGAGATTAGTCTGTAACAACCTGCATTGTGATCACTGTGGAACCCATGTTAACCTTCCTTTGGTATATAGAAATATACTTAGTTGGAAGAATCTTATTAGGACAACATGGTCAAATGGATAGCACATTGGCCTGCTAGTTTTAGGATTGGCTTGCCATGGGTTCGAGCCCTTCATGTGGTAAGCTGATATAAAGTGCTAGTTGTTACAGTCACTGTTGAGGGTAAGAGACTCGTGATCCAAAGAAGTGGACTTGTCCCCCCTTCTTCCTTGGATCAGATCTTATTGCCTCCCATTCCCCAAGACCTGTGTAAGTTAAGAACTTTACCACTAAATATAATTACAATGATGCAGATGAGTAATTAGATTTAACTACAGCATGCAATTTGGCTCTCATTTATTTATTAAGTAAAATAACATGAGTATGTCCTCTAGAATAAGAATAAGAAGAAGAAAATTGTCAAAGTGGGAAGTGTGAATGTGCGTGGATGTTGTGCAAATGATAAGAAAGAGATGATTGTGGATGTTATGAATGAGAAGAAACTGGATGTCCTGGCTTTAAGTGAAACAAAGCTGAAGGGGGTGGGAGAGTTTCAATGGAGAGGAATGAATGGGATTAGGTCAGGGGTTTCAAATAGAGTTAGAGCTAAAGAAGGAGTACAATAATGTTGAAGGAAAAGCAAATGGAATGAAAAGAGGATTACAAATGTATAAATTCAAGGATTATGGGGAGTAAAATAAAGATTGGATGTGAAAAGTGGTTTATAGTAAGCATGTATGTACCTGGAGAAGAGAGAAGTGTAGAGGAGAGAGAGACATTCTGGGAAATTGAGAGGAATGCGTGGGGAGTTTTTGAATAAAGTGTGAGAGTAATGGTGGTTGGATTTCAATGCTAAAGGGGGTAAAAATGTTTAAGAGGGAGTAGTAGGAAAATTTTGGGGATGCCAGGGGTAAATGTAAATGAGGAGCCTTTAATTGAGCTATTTTAGAAAGAAAATAAGTAATACATATTTTATGAAAAAGAAGATAAAATATAAAAGGGTATGATGTAGCACTAATAAAAAGTAGTTTGTTAGATTATGTATTGGGATAAAAGGTTGAGGGGTAGGCTCCAGGTGTACATTTTTTATAGAGGGGCAACTGATATATGGGAAATCATTATTTAGTTGTAGCTACAGTTAGAGTAAGAGGTAGAGGGGAAAAGCGGAAGGTGGCAACCCCAAGTAAGAGGGAGGTGAAAGTATAAACTAAGGGAGGAGGAAGTTCGGTGAGATATAAGCGACTTTTTGGCAGAAAGGTGGGCTAGTGCAAAGATGAGTATGGGGGGGTTGAAGAGGGTTGGAATAGTTTTTAAAAATGCAGTATTAGAATGTGGGGCAGAATTTGGGGTTATAGGAGGGGGGGCAGGAGGAAAAGAGGAGTGTTTGGTGGAATGATGAAGTAAAGGGTGTAAATAAAAGAGAAAAAGGTAGCTTACGAGAGGTTTTACAAAGCAGAAGTGTTATAAGAAGAGCAGAGTATATGGAGAGTAAAAGAAAGGTGAAGAGAGTGGTGAGAGAGTGCAAAAGAGAGCAGATGAAAGAGTGGGAGAGGCACTGTCAAGAAATTTTAATGAAAATAAGAAAAAATTGGAGTGAGTTTAAACAAGTTAAGAAAGCCTAGGGAAAGTATGGATTTGTCAGTTAAAAACAGAGTAGGGAGTAGTAAAATGGGGAGGGGGAGGTATTAGGTAGATGGAGAGAAATTTTGAGGAACTTTTAAATTTTGAGGAAGAAAGGGAGGCGGTAATTTCATGCACTGGCCAGGGATATACCTTCTTTTGGGAGTGAAGAAAGCAGAATGAAAAGTGTGGTGGAGGTACGGAGGCATTACGAGAATAAAAAGGGGGTAAAGCAGCGGGAACTGAGGGATCATGACAGAAATGTTAAAAGCAGGGGGGATATAGTGTTGGAGGGGTTGATACTTTTGTTTAATAAATGTATGAAAGAGGGGAAGGTACCTAGGGATTGGCGGAGAGCATGTATAGTCCCTTTATAAAGGGAAAGGGGACAAAAGAATTGTAAAAATTATAGAGGAATAATTTACGGGAGTATACCAGGAAAAGTAACGGGCTGGAGTTTTGAGACTCTTATGACCGCGGTTCAATCCCGGGCCGGGGTATAGCCCGTACGGTAGGGTTATAATTGAAAGAATTAGGGGTAAACAGAATGTAGGATTGCGGATGAGCAGGGAGGCTTCAGAGTGGTAAGGGATAGTAGATACAAGTGTTTACATTGAAGCAATATGTGAACATATTTAGATAAAGGTAGGGAAGCTTTTTTTTGCATTTATGGATTTAAAAAGGCATATGATAGAGTGGATAGAGGAGCAATGTGGCAGATGTTGCAAGTATATGGAATAGGTGGTAATTTTACTAAATGCTGTAAAGAGCTTTTATGAGGATAGTGAGGCTCAGGTTAGGTGTAGAAGAGAGGGAGAATACTTCCCGGTAAAAGTAGGTCTTAACAGGGATGTGTAATGTCACCATGGTTGTTTAATATATTTATAGATGGGTTGTAAAAGAAGTAAATGCTAGGTTTTTCGGGAGAGGGGTGGGATTAAATTATGGAATCAAATTCAGAATGAATTGACACAGTTACTTTTTGCTGATAAATACTGTGCTTATGGGAGATTCTAAAGAAAATTGCAAAGGTTAGTGGATGAGTTTGAGAATGTGTGTAAAGGTAAAAGTTGAAAGTGAACATAGAAAAGATAAGGTGATGAGGGTATCAAATGATTAGATAAAGAAAAATTTGATATCAAATTGGGGAGAGGAGTATGGAAGAAGTGAATGTTTTCAGATATTTGGGGAGTTGACGGGGTCGGGGGATGGATTTATGAAGGATGGGGTTAATCATAGAATTGATGGGGGAAAAAAGGTGAGTGGTGCGTTGAGGTATATTGGAGTCAAAAAAAAAACGTTATCTATGGAGGCAAAGAAGGCAATGTTATGAAAGTATAGTAGTACCAACACTCTTTTTAGGATGTGAAGTTTGGGGTGGTAAATGCAGCAGCGAGGAAAACGGTTGGGGGCAGTGGAGAGTCCTGTCTAAGGCAATTTTGTGGTGTAAATATTATGCAGAAAATTCGTTGTGTGGAAATTAGGAGAAGGTGTGGAGTTAATAAAAGCATTATTTCAGAGGGCAAAAGAGGGTTTGTTGAGGTGGTTTGGTCATTTAGAGAGAATGGATCAAAGTAGAATGACATGGAAAGCATATAAAACTATAGGGAAGGAAGGAGGGGTAGGGTCGTCCTCGAAAGGGTTGGAAAGAGGGGGTAAAGGAGGTTTTTGGGTGAGGGCGGGACTTCCAGCAAGCGTGCATGAGCGTGTTAGATAGGAGTGAATGGGGGAGAACGATACTTTGTGGACCTGACGATCGTTGGAGTGTGAGCAGAGAATATTAGTGAAGGGATTCGGGGAAAAACCGGTTATTTTCATATAGCCCGGACTTGAGTCCTGGAAAGGGGAAGTCCCATGCCTGCATTTTAAAAGGGAGGGGTTTGGGATATTGGCAGTTTGGAGGGATATGTTGTGTATCTCTATACGTATATGCTTCTAAACTGTTGTAAATTTTGAGCACCTCTGGGAAAAGCAGTGATAATGTTGAGTGTGGTGAAAGTGTTGAATGATGATGAAATATTTTCTTTTTGGGGATTTTCTTTCTTTTTTTGGGTCACCCGCCTCGGTGGGAGACGGCCGACTTGTTGAAAAAAAAAAATGTCCTCTAGTGAGTGAAATAAAGAAGTTCATCTGTCTCATAATTAATGAAGCAATAACCTTCTATTACTACTTTTGTTGAATGATCTACATAAGTTTATTGCTTCACAAAATATAATAAAAAATGTAAGAGAAAGAACATAATAAAACACTTTGAAAATCCTAAAGGGATTAGTACCAAACTTGCATACAAAAACCCTCCTACGAAAGCAAAAGACTCGGGAGGTGATACAACAATCCCAAATGAGAACCAGGGTACACTAAGAGACAACACAGTTAAGTGTCCAGGGGCCCAAGACTATTCCCAAATTCCTCCCAGCATACATAAGGGATTACCAGTAACCCCT